AGTCAGCATGGATTCACCAAGGGAAGGTCATGCCTGACTAATCTAATCACCTTCTATGATGAGATTACTAGTTCTGTGGATGAAGGGAAAGCAGTAGATGTATTGTATCTTGACTTTAGCAAAGTTTTTGACACCGTCTCCCACAGTATTCTTGTCAGCAAGTTAAAGAAGTATGGGCTAGATGAATGCACTATAAGGTGGGTAGAAAGTTGGCTAGATTGTCGGGCTCAACGGGTAGTGATCAATGGCTCCATGTCTAGTTGGCAGCCGGTGTCAAGTGGAGTGCCCCAGGGGTCGGTCCTGGGGCCTGTTTTGTTCAATATCTTCATAAATGATCTGGAGGATGGTGTGGATTGCACTCTCAGCAAATTTGCAGATGATACTAAACAAGGGAGGAGTGGTAGATACGCTGGAGGGCAGGGATAGGGTACAGAGGGACCTAGACAAATTGGAGGATTGGGCCAAAAGAAATCTGATGAGGTTCAATAAGGATAAGTGCAGGGTCCTGCACTTAGGACGGAAGAACCCAATGCACAGCTACAGACTAGGGACCGAATGGCTAGGCAGCAGTTCTGCGGAAAAGGACCTAGGGGTGACAGTGGACGAGAAGCTGGATATGAGTCAGCAGTGTGCCCTTGTTGCCAAGAAGGCCAATGGCATTTTGGGATGTATAAGAAGGGGCATAGCGAGCAGATCGAGGGACGTGATCGTCCCCCTCTATTCGACATTGGTGAGGCCTCATCTGGAGTACTGTGTCCAGTTTTGGGCCCCACACTACAAGAAGGATGTGGATAAATTGGAGAGAGTCCAGCGAAGGGCAACAAAAATGATTAGGGGTCTGGAACACATGAGGTATGAGGAGAGGCTGAGGGAACTGGGATTGTTTAGTCTGCGGAAGAGAAGAATGAGGGGGGGGATTTGATAGCTGCTTTCAACTACCTGAGAGGTGGTTCCAGAGAGGATGGTTCTAGACTATTCTCAGTGGTAGAAGAGGACAGGACAAGGAGTAATGATCTCAAGTTGCAGTGGGGGAGGTTTAGGTTGGATATTAGGAAAATCTTTTTCACTAGGAGGGTGGTGAAACACTGGAATGCGTTGCCTAGGGAGGTGGTGGAATCTCCTTCCTTAGAAGTTTTTAAGGTCAGGCTTGACAAAGCCCTGGCTGGGATGATTTAATTGGGGATGTGTCCTGCTTTTGAGCAGGGGGTTGGACTAGATGACCTCCTGAGGTCCCTTCCAACCCTGATATTCTATGATTCTATGATTCTATATCACAGTCAGGGCCCTTGATTTCAGGCGTGTGACTAGGGTTGCCAACTTCCTAATCACACAAAACTGAACATCCCTGCCCTGCCCCTTCACTGAGGCCCAGTCCCTACCTCGTCCCTTCTCAAGGCTCTGCCCCCACTTGCCCATCACCCCTCCATCTTTCGCTCACTGTCCCTCACTCACTTTCACAGGGCTGGAGCAGAGGGTGGGGTGTGAGGGGGTACAGGCTCTGGACTGGGGGTACAGGCTCCGGGTGGGGCCAGAAATGAGGGCTTCAGGGTGCGGGAGAGGGCTCCAGGCTGGGGCAGGGAGTTGGGGTGCGGGAAGGGGGTGGGGGCTCTGGCTGGGGGTGTGGGCTCTGAGGTGGGGCGGGGGATGAGGGGTTTGGGATGCTGGGCTGGAGCAGGGAGTTGGGGTATTGCTGCGGGCTCTGGGAGGGAGTTTGGGTGTGGGAGGGGACTCTGTGCTGGGGCAGGGCATTGGGGTACAGAAGCGGGTTTGGAGTGTGGGGTCCTGGCAGTGCTTACCATGGCTCCCAGGAAGCTGCCGCCAGGTCCCTGCATCCACTAGACACATGGGTGGCCAGGGATGCTCCATGCACTGCCAATGGGAGCTGCAGAGCTGGCCCTCGGGGCGGGGGCAGCGCACGGAGCCTCCCTGGCTGCCCATGCGTCTAGGGGCTGCAGGGACCTGGCGGCCACTTCTGGGAGCCGTGCAGAGCCAGGGCAGGCAGGAAGCATGCCTTAGCTCCAGGCCCCTGCTGCACCACTGACCGGCTTTTAATGGCCCAGTTGGCAGTGCTGACTGGAGCCACCAGGGTCCCATTTCTATGGGGCATTCTGGTCGAAAACAGGATACCTGGCAACCTTAGGAATGACTATGGTCTGGGGTGAGAACTGAGCCTACAAACTGCCCCTCGTTGTGAGCTCAATGGGAAGCCGCATGTAACAGCTTGTACGATGTCACACACTGCTGATAGGAAATGGTACAAAAGGGAGCCAGCAAAAAAGGCCATGTTGAGATAATGCAGAGGATTTCGGGAATAACAGGCGAGATGGAACCTGAAATTAACAAACCAAAATTGGTGTGCTGGCTGTTAGGCCTAATTGGGAGACAAACTAATGAGGGCTTGGGCTGTTCCACCCATCACTCTCTTTTGGGTCCTTAAAGAAAGAGACTGGGGGAACAGACAAAAGAACAGAAGGAGGCTGCTGGAGCAAAGTTCACCACCATGGCTCCCACCCCACATCTTCTGGGACCCGGGACCCTCTTCATCCTAAAACTACGAGCTATGTTGACTGGCCTGGGCCAGCTAGTGGGACCCAGATGACAGCACCACCTCTACCGGCTCCAGCTGACAGCCAAACACCACACGATATGAAACGGGATTGGATTTAGCTCAAGCCCTACTCAACCAACTTTTCTTGTCTCCAAAGGACAGTTCTTACATCTTTGACACCCTCTAAGCAGGCTGTGGTCACTGTGCCCCAAATCTTGCTGAACAGTTTCGTGCTGCCCAGTGCCTGGATTATGTAAACACCTTTGGCCCATTTGTTCCATATAAATTAATACAATCCTCCACTACCCTGCCCCATGCATGGTCATTTACACTAGACCTGTAGGCAGCAATCTTCTCTACAGCAGGATCCCCTTTTCCATACCAGGACCCACACACCCCATCTAGCCAGAGTCCCTCCCAGTTGGCCATATGGGAATGGCGGGGCTCAGAACCCGTGCTCTACAGCTGAGTGTGTGTACAATGCTTCCATTCTGCTCTGGGTGTGTTTCACAGCTGCCCGGCACTGGAGTACAGAGGCACAGAGCGATGGAAAATTGTGCCTGACAGCTTTGAACTGGGCCTGTGCCACCGACATCAATAGAAGTTTAGCCACTGATTTCAGTGGGTGCAAGATTCTCTCTTAAATCAATGCCTTCAGCCCCTTCATCACAGCTTGTTGCGCTTCTTTCCAGTCCCTGAAACTTAGCACCATCCCCCTGGCACAGAGGTAGACATACTGGCAACAAGGTTTGTTCACCCCAGGCCACATGCAATACAACAAACCAAAGCGCATCGGCTTTTCTTGTTGTTGTTAAAGTGCATATGCCAAGCTTTATTGTGCTGGGTAGCTAATGAGATAGCTTTGCCAGTTCATCATCAACAAGGCTAGTGTTTAACAAGATACCTGTTTTGGGGCTATGCTTGGTCAGTAGCCCAGGCTTCGGACAGGATTAAAAGAGTGGCTGGCTAAAGGTTAAGAACAGTCAGTTTTCTTTTCTGGTTGATTTCTTTGTTGGGAATGGATCAGCCAGCTCATTCCCTGTGTTGTGATAGTTCAGAACCAGCTTGAGAAAGCGCTCTCATGCCACAAGGGGTCAGATTCTTGATTTTCACAAACCAAGGGGCTAAATTGTGCTTGTCAGCTCTGCACAGAAAGCCCAGACAGGTGTGGCTGCAAACAGGTGACTGTGTGCAGCTGCAAACTCTGCCCAATCACCAGCATGCATGTGCCCCAGGGGCAGCATAGGCACCTCTATGTGAAAATTAAAACCCCATGGGCTAAATCCTGATGTCAGTTACTCCCTGTGTCAAGCTGCAGTGATGCCATGAAAGTCTCCAGAACGACTCCAGATTTACACTGGTGTAATTGGATCAGAATCTGGCCCTTCTAGGCCCGAGTTCAAGAAAGCACTTCAGCATGTGCTTAACTTTAAACACCTGCTTAAGACTCAGTTGGACTCAATAGGACTTAAGCATGTGCTTAAAGTGAAGCCTGGGCTTCAGCAACTTCCTGATCAGAGCTGGGCTCCTGGCCTTAAACCAGGGTTTTGTCTGGAACTGAAATGCAAGACCTGATGCTCTTCTCATTCCCCTGGGTGTAGATCAGGAATAGCGCCAGGGAAGTTAACTGACATATTTTATACTGGTGTACAATTGGTCTGAGATGAGAATCAGGCATGAAGAATCAAAACCCTTCCAGACATGTCTGGCAATCAGTCCTCCAATGCTATTTTCTTGCCATAGCCACACCCCATTCTGACTCTAGTCCCATTTGACCAAATGACTAGGAAAATCTAACCACCATGAATGGCACTTGACTGATGGAACAGGAGTCACTTGCTGACCCATGGCCAAACACAAAAAAACATTGATTGACCTAGAGAACTGACTTGCTCAGAGGTCCAGCCAATCTGAAACCAATTTGTTCATAAAAATAGAGCATACAAAAATTAATTGTTCTTTAATGAATAAACAGGTTTTTGATTGGCTGATTTCTTTCAGAAGAGGGGTGGGAGCGTGGTCAAAACCCAGAGGTCAATCCAAATTCCGGGGCTCATCCCCATCTCTGGAACCCTGGGGGGGAGGCGTAGGATACAAATCCAGCAGCACAAGGGGTTGGCCTGTCTTCCTTTCCCGGAGACTCTTTCAGTCTTAGTTCACTTGCCCCCCCCCACCCCCCCCAGCCCCGTTTCCCCACTATCCCTATGTGGAGGAGACCCATACGCTGTCCACCCACAGACCTAGTTAGTGAACTGAGGTGCTCGGCTGGCATTTGGGCATGCCCCTGAACATATCTCTCTCCCATCCTCTGCTTCAGAGGTGGGGGTCTATATGTATAGATATTATTTCTCTTGTTCCACACGGTTATTTGATCTCTTTTGTTCAGTAAATAATTTCAAATTCCCTGAGCCTCAAAAATGACAGTTAGGTAGCTGGACATTATTGTTATTAGTTTTACACCTTTTTGTTTTGTTTTTATGATTAGTATTTTGATTTATTTAAATATATATATATATATATATTTCTGCCCCTCCCCCTGCTCCGATCAGTCCCCATAGCTCCGATTCCTCCCCACCCCCACCCCTGCTCAGTTTTTGCCTTTGATTTTCTGCTTGGCCGATACATAGGGCAGCACGGTCTGAGTGCTTTTGTCCGACACGGTCTGTGTGCTGCTGTTCTTCATCAGTTTCCGTTGCTGAGTGGCACTCAGGTGAGAAGAGTGCCGCTGCAGCAGTGGCAGTGGATTGGCAGAGGGCCCAGCCGGCAGCTTGTGCCCCGCCTCACTGGGCTCCTCCAGAAGGTCCTTGGGCGGTGGCGGCCCGCCAGTGCCTTCCTGGCTGTTCCCGTCGTCATCGTCGCAGCACAAGGCATGGTAGAGCACCTTGTCACTGAAGCGGACCCGCTCCCTCATGCCCGGCGTCCTCTGGTGCTGGGCTTTGAGGTTGGGGCCGGAGCTGAAGGCCTCCTCACTGGAAGAGTCAGGCGTCTCCACCCGGGGTCCGTTAGGGGTCAGCACCCCACCGTTCATCAGCCGGTAGTCTGGCTGGCGGCCTGGCTGCTGCTCTGAGCCGTCCCCAGAGTCAGATGGGGTGGAGACCTCCAGGAAGGAGCAGAACTCCCAGCTGTCAGAGAGGATGTCCGAGGTCATGAAATCCAGCTGGCCGAGGTCGAACGTGCCACCCCCTTTCTCGCTGCTGGATGTGCTGCTCACTGTGGCCGTGGTCCAGTCGTCTGGCTCTAGCTCAAACTCAAAATCCGACGTCAGCTTATCAATCTGGCTCACTACCTGCATGAAGACAGAGCGAGAGAGCAATCAGGGGGCTGGCAGGACCACTCCACAGCAGGCAAGCGGGCCAGCCTTAATGTAACGCGGTCCCACTGGGCAGGCCAGCCCTCCCAGGGCTTGAACCTGGTGTGACGTTGCACTCCATATGTTTTATGGAAATATATTTATAAGTGTAAATACAATGTAACTGGAATATGTTTTATGCAAAAGGTCTCTTTGTAAAGTATCATTACAAAGCTTATAATCTACTGAGTGTGATCATCTTATTTGTATGTATGTATCATTCTTGTATCTGAAGCTAGAAATATGAAGTATTACTCTAAAGTCCTATTGTAACTATGCAAAGTGTGGGCCATTAATGGTAGTTTAGAATCTTGATGGATCCCTTTAACCAGGACAATTGGTTGTAAATGGCTCTGTTTACTTGTAAGCCTTCCTGTGTTCATTTGAGTCAGGCTAGAAAGAATGGAGGCTTGGGGATCTCACAGCCCATGTGACCATGTCACATGGTACTGGAATCCATCTTAAACCTGGTGCTTTTCCATTTAGAAGGAAGGATGGGAACCCAGAGAGAGACAAAAGATTCCTGCCTTGTGCCAAAGATATAAAAGGGGCTGGAACAGAACAAAGGGGGCTGCAGTCATGATAAATCCCCTAGTTACCACCTGAGCTGGAACTAACAAGAACTGTACCAGGAGAAAGGATTGGGCCCAGACTAAGAAGGAGTCTAGTCTGTGAAAGAAGCTTATTGGAACATCTCTGAGAGTGAGATTTACCTGTATTCAGTTTCTTAATGTATTAGGCTTAGACTTGCGTGTTTTGTTTTATTTTTCTTTGTAACTTACTTTGTTCTGTCTGTTATTACTTGAAAACACTTAAATCCTACTTTTTATATTTAATAAAATCACTTTTGTTTATTAATTAACCCAGAGTAAGTGATTAACACCTGGGGGAGCAAACAGCTGTGCATTTCTCTCTATCAGTGTTACAATTTATGAATTTACCCTGTATAAGCTTTATAGAGTAAAATGAATTTATTTGGGGTTTGGATCCGATTGGGATCTGGGTGTCTGGGTGTTGGAGACAGGAGTACTTGCTGAGTGGTTTTTGGTTAAATTCTGCAGCTTTGGGGGTGTTGACCAGACCTGGCTGTGTTGCAGCGGAGTAGTGTGTCTGGCTCAACAGGACAGAATTCTGGAGTCTTAAGCTGGCAGGAAAAACGGGCTCAGAGGTAATCTTAGCATGTCAGGTGACAGTCCCAAGGGGGTCTCTGTGACTGAACCCGTCACACGTGGGACCATTGGATCTGAAAGTGAGACACTCCACTTCCTGAGCTAAAAGACTCTGTGCTCTCAAAGCCAGCGGCAGACTCAAACTGCTCTTTCTCCTGGTCCCTAGAGGGGGACAGAGCAGCACGGTGCAGATGTGTGATGCACTAGCATTTCCTCCCCATCGCAGAGCTAGGTTTGTGCTGGATTAGAGGCCAAAAGTGAAATGAGTTTTGGTGGGACTCAGTATAGTTTTTAGCAAAGGTGGGCAAAATGGATGAGAAACTAACCTGCACACACCCTCAACTGCCAGACTCCAATAGAAATGTCACTGAAACTCGTGAAAGCTTCCAGCTAGTATTTTTAGCTGTCAGGCTGGGCCTGAAAGTATTGACATGCTAGGAGCAAGGCTATTTCCACTGGCCCAGGAGGCCCGTGTCATTGACGAAGCTCCAACTAATCAGCTGGATCCTGCTTCTGCTACGCTCCCCAGATGTGTTTGTGGCTCCCCCAGCATCTGCCTTCTGGGAAGGTTGCTCACATCCAGTTGAGCATGCAGGAGGAACTTTGCTTAGGCAAAGGCTCTGGGACTGGAAGGACACATGAAAGGGCAACTTCTGATGGGCTGCTCCCACCTCTGAGTGGTGATGGGAGTCAGGAGAGAGAGACAGTGGCAGATGCCCCTAAGTCCCTGATTAGCAGGAGCTGGAGGAGAGCTGCAGAGCAGGAGGGTGGCTCATTGGAAGACCTTTTTGTTGTAGAGCTTCATGTATGCCGGGGGTCCAGAGCTCCCAGTAGTGTCCCAGTAGCAAATTCCCACTGCCTAGGCTGGGGTGGGGTTTATACTAGTGCTGCCTCCAGTACAAGTAATAAGACACTCTGGGGTGCTGCAGCAGGGTGCGGGAATCCTGCTTGGTGTTTCCTTTGGCGCGCCAATAATACCTGCTGACAACCACACGTCTCATTCTAAGCATGCCTCTTCACCACAAGGCGCTACCCAGTGTGGTACGGGCGGGGATAGGAGATTGCATGGGTCAAACTACTCCCTGTTCTGCTTCCCACTGGCACAAGGCCCCTGGCTGTCTCCCATGACTGTATCAGATCTGGCTGTTTTCCTTGCTCCGAGATACACTCAATTCCCCTGTTTCTCCTCCTCTGTCTCATGCTCTCCTACAATGGTTTTCTCTTCCGCCTGCATTCCTCTATCGGCTGCTCTCTGCCCCCTTGCTCCCAGTGTCTCTTCCTCTTTCTGCCTGCTCTCTCCTTCTGGCTCTGCCAGCCCACACCTCTTTCACTCTCCCTCTCTGCCCCCTGTGGAGGAAGAACAAAGCCCGAGGCGTTCAGACAGCTCACGCTGCAGATTGGGCCGAGACAAGGCTGGGTCAGAAATGGGCGGATCAGAGAGGAGCTGGCATGGGGAGGCCAATGAACACCAGGAACCAGCTCACCTGTGCACACACAAACAGAGTCACTGGAGGGGGTGCGCTAGCAAAGTTGGTGCCTGGAAGCCACTGTATTTAAACACTCTGCGCCCAATTCGCCTCTCATTTACACGAGTGTGTAACTCTCCAGACGCCTGATTTACACCAGCAGCAGAGCCCAGCCTTCTCCTTCTCTCTGTCCTTGAGGAGGATTCCCAGGCCTGGCTGATGCCTGCCTGGCATGCACCACCCTGGCTGCACTCCGGTTAGATTTCTGTATGGGTGTAACCTACAGTCACCCACTCTCCCTGCAGCTCACTGCCTGGCTCGCCCTGCTGCTCACCATACCACAGCTCAGGTCTCCCAGGAACCAGCACTTTGTACTGTGAAACTCATCCCCAGCCTGACGGCCATGGGGAGAGCAGGATGCACTGCCATGGAGTTTTGCTCGGCATCTTGGCCTGGGGAAACCCAGAGCAACTTCCCGCCAGCTGCATTGAAGTTCCTCCTCCCCAAATGGCAGCATCCAGTCTAGGGGGGCTCTGCATGTACCCAAACACTTTGCAGATTTATACCCATGGGGCCAGATCCTCAGCTGCTGTATATCACCATAGTTCCATTGACTTCAATGGGCCAGACCAAGAGCTACTCCGATTCACCCCAGCTGAGGCTCTAATCGCCTTCTATGATGAGATTACTGGTTCTGTGGATGAAGGGAAAGCAGTGGATGTATTGTTTCTTGACTTTAGCAAAGCTTTTGACACGGTCTCCCACAGTATTCTTGCCAGCAAGTTAAAGGAGTATGGGCTGGATGAATTCACTATAAGATGGGTAGAAAGTTGGCTAGATTGTCGGGCTCAACGGGTAGTGATCAATGGCTCCATGTCTAGTTGGCAGCCGGTGTCAAGTGGAGTGCCCCAGGGGTCGGTCCTGGGGCCTGTTTTGTTCAATATCTTCATAAATGATCTGGAGGATGGTGTGGATTGCACCCTCAGCAAGTTTGCGGATGATACTAAACTGGGAGGAGTGGTTGATATGCTGGAGGGCAGGGATAGGATACAGAGGGACCTAGACAAATTGGAGGATTGGGCCAAAAGAAATCTGATGAGGTTCAATAAGGATAAGTGCAGGGTTCTGCACTTAGGACGGAAGAACCCAATGCACAGCTACAGACTAGGGACCGAATGGCTAGGCAGCAGTTCTGCGGAAAAGGACCTAGGGGTGACAGTGGACGAGAAGCTGGATATGAGTCAGCAGTGTGCCCTTGTTGCCAAGAAGGCCAATGGCATTTTGGGATGTATAAGTAGGGGCATAGCGAGCAGATCAAGGGACGTGATCGTTCCCCTCTATTCGACATTGGTGAGGCCTCATCTGGAGTACTGTGTCCAGTTTTGGGCCCCACACTACAAGAAGGATGTGGATAAATTGGAGAGAGTCCAGCGAAGGGCAACAAAAATGATTAGGGGTCTGGAACACATGACTTATGAGGAGAGGCTGAGGGAACTGGGATTGTTTAGTCTGCAGAAGAGAAGAATGAGGGGGGATTTGTTAGCTGCTTTCAACTACCTGAGAGGTGGTTCCAGAGAGGATGGTTCTAGACTATTCTCAGTGGTAGAAGAGGACAGGACAAGGAGTAGTGGTCTCAAGTTGCAGTGGGGGAGGTTTAGGTTGGATATTAGGAAAAACTTCTTCACTAAGAGGGTGGTGAAACACTGGAATGCATTACCTAGGGAGGTGGTGGAATCTCCTTCCTTAGAAGTTTTTAAGGTCAGGCTTGACAAAGCCCTGGCTGGGATGATTTAATTGGGGATTGGTCATGCTTTGAGCAGGGGGTTGGACTAGACAACCTCCTGAGGTCCCTTCCAACCCTGATATTCTATGATTCTATGATTCTACCCAATAAATTAACATGTAGAAGGCCCGTTTTACTCCAGCCTCCCCAGACTGCAGACTGCTCTGGGGTGTAATGCAAAAGCCATGATGACACCATCTTGATCCTTTCTATGCCAGGGATTTTGTCCTGGAGAGGCTAACCCAGCAGAAGTCCCATCTGATAGCAGCACGACCCATCTGTGCTAAAGCTTGTTACTGGTGCCACACTCCCTGTCCAGCCAGAGCCACACACTGCACTAATGGAGGACACGAGAGATGGCTGGAGATGAATGAGGACTTAGCACTTTATTGCCCAAGTGGAGTTTGGCCAGGACATCAGAGAAGCAGTCAGGGCTTCTGCCTCCTCGGAAACCCAGTACCCGCAGCAGCACAATGCCCCCTAGGCCCAGGAAGCAGCACCCAACCCCAAGCCAACTAG